TGAGCAGGATTTGTCTTATGGAAAAATACTGAGACAGAATAGCCACACTGAATGTCCAATTTTTCCACGTCTGGACGCCCAACGAAAAACCCTGGAGAGGTCTGCGATAGAGAGGGAAAACTCCGAGGGTAGCGGGTGGAGGCGCGATCCTCTGCTTCTGTAACAGAAACCCCTTGAAAATGGAGTGGAAGAGACCGGCCCTAGGGACGGTTCCAGAGGTGTGACGGCCCAAGAAATGGTGAAGGAAGCAAAGAATGAGACAACGGAGGCAAAGAGTGAAGAGTGAAAGTCAGAATTGATGGAGAGAGGTACCTAATCCTCAGAGATAAAACGACCTGGAGAGAGAGACTGACAAGTGAGTCTCCAGAGAGGGGAATTTGGTGATTTAGTGGTGGGAGCAGATCAACAATCGAGTACAGTGAATGTTTGCCAGAGTGGGAGAACTGACTAGAGATTAAAGTTAGAGCTTGGAACTACTTTAAATTTATTTAAGACAGATAATTTGACTATTTGACTGACTATTTTGTGGGGTTTGGTGAGGCTTGCCTAAATAGACCAGAAGGAGGAGTTTTTGAAAGCAAACGGAAGAGAAATGCTGAAGGAGAGCTAAAGAAATCCGGCTGGGTTAGTGACTCTGCAGTGACTGTGCATATTAGAAGGAAGAGGATATTTTGTACCGAGAAGACTTGAAGGCTGAAGTATAAAGAATATTAAGCATTCTAAATTTTTCTAAGGACATCTGAACATTTGGACTTAAATACAAAAATTTGGAAAGAATAATTGTGTAAGGTCTGATAATATAACAATAAGATAAAAAGAAACAAGAGGTATTGTGATTGGTAGACCATAAATTGATATTTGTAATTTACAATTTACGATATATATTGATTGATGAACTGATACTTATTCTCCTTTTGCTTTATCCTTTTTCTATATGAATTTTATATGAATTTTAGCTTTATATAATTGAATTAATTAGACAAGTTAAAATAAGACTGTGAAAGAAATTATTACTGATTATTGGAAATTGTGCTGATATTAACGTGTAATTCATTATCCACCACCTATTATTATTTACTCATGGATATTTACTAACTATTAATCAATTGATATTTACTACTATTTTTATTAATTGTAAACTACAAATAATATATATATAGAATATTGATTTATTGACTGTCTGATATCAACTCTATGGTACCATTTTGGTTATTGTAGATAATTAGATTATTTATTATATTACTAGGACAAAGTAGCTAGTATAAAAGTATAACTGATATATTTTTATTGAGAGTTAATTAAATAAATGATACCTAGTGATTAAGATTATTTAGCATAATATAGAAGATCTAATAACATAGATTCTGAGACCTTAAAGTAAAGGAGGCTTATAGATAGTATTGTATTTATTTGACTACGATGTTGTAACAGATATAAGAATAGTGCCCAGTTGGGTTGGGAATTTATGGTATTTTGGACACAGCTATATACAATTATTATTTTTTTGAAACAAATTTTATTAATTTTAAGGACAAACAAACCATCATTAACCAT